TGAATGTTTCAGCCTTCCTCAAAAATAATATTACTAATAATATGTTTGCGATGTTATCTGAGTGCATATCCACAACGGGCGAGCTTGAAAATATGCCCGGTCACAGTGGGATTCAAACCTACGACCTTTGGAATACTAGCCAAATGCTCTTCCAACTGAGCTACGCGGTCAGGACGGTTCGAGTAAGTGATATTTCGGAACAGTATCTAGTTCCTTCAATACCAATGTGTTCTAGTAATATGAATTTTTCTGTGTTGGTGTTTTGTACTCAGGTGAATAATATGTTTGCGATGTTACTCTGAGTGCATATCCACACCGGGCGAGCTTGAAAAATATGCCCGGCCACGATGGGATTCGAACCTACGACCTTTGCAATACTAGCCCAATGCTCTTCCAACTGAGATACGCGGTCAGGACGGTTCGAGTAAGTGATATTTCGGAACAGTATCTAGTTCCTTCAATACCAATGTGTTCTAGTAATATGAATTTTTTTCTCTGTTGGTGTTGTGTACTCAGGTGAATAATATGTTTGCGATGAGTGCATATCGACATTGGGCGAGCTTGAAAAAATATGCCCGGCCACGGTGGGATTCGAACCTACGACCTTTGGAATACTAGCCCAATGCTCTTCCAACTGAGCTACGCGGTCAGGACGGTTCGAGTATGTGATATTTCGGACCAGTATCTAGTTCCTTCAATACCAATGTGTTCTAGTAACATAAATTTTTTTCTGTGTTGATGTTGTGTAGTCAAGTTAATAATATGTTTGCGATGCTATTCTGAGTGCATATCCACAATGGGCGAGCTTGAAAAATATGCCCGGCCACGGTGGGAGTCGAACCTACGACCTTTGGAATACTAGCCCAATGCTTTTCCAACTGAGCTACGCGGTCCGGACGGTTCGAGTAAGTGATATTTCGGAACAGTATCTAGTTCCTTCAATACCAATGTCTTCTAGTAATATGAATTTTTTTCTGTGTTGGTGTTGGGTACTCAAATGAATAATATGTTTGCGATGTTACTCTGAGTGCATATCCACAATGGGCGAGCTTGAAAAATATGCCCGGCCACGGTGAGATTCGAACCTACGACCTTTGGAATACTAGCCCAATGCTGTTCCAACTGAGCTACGCGGTCAGGACGGTTCGAGTAAATGATATTTCGGAACAGTATCTAGTTCCTGCCATACCAATGTGTTCTAGGTATATGAATTTTTTTCTGTCTTGGTGTTGCGTACTCAGGTGAATAATATGTTTGCGATGTTATCTGAGTGCATATCCACAACGGGCGAGCTTAAAAATATGCCCGGCCACGATGGGATTCAAAGTTACGACCTTTGGAATACTAGCCTAATGCTCTTCCAACTGAGCTACGCGGTCAGGACGGTTCGAGTAAGTGATATTTCGGAACAGTATCAAGTTCCTTCAATACCAATGTGTTCTAGTTATAAGAATTTTTTCTGCGTTGGTGTTGTGTACTCAGGTGAATAATATGTTTGCGATGTTTCTCTGAGTGCATATCCACACCGGGCGAGCTTGAAAAATATGCCTGGCCACGGTGGGATTCGAACCTACGTCCTTTGGAAAACTAGCCCAAAGCTCTTCCAACTGAGCTACGCGTTCAGGACGGTTCGAGTAAGTGATATTTCGGAACAGTATCTAGTTCCTTCAATACCAATGTGTTGTAGTAATATGAATTTTTTCTGTGTTGGTGTTGTGTACTCAGGTGAATAATATGTTTGCGATGTTACTCTGAGTGCATATCCACAATGGGCGAGCTTGAAAAATATGCCCGGCCACGGTGGGATTCGAACCTACGACCTTTGGAATGCTAGTCCAATGCTGTTACAACTGAGCTACGCGGTCAGGACTGTTCGAGTAAATGATATTTCGGAACAGTATCTAGTTCCTTAATAATAATATAATAATAATCTGTTTAATTAATCACATTACAGTCTCTACTGAATTACATGATTATAAGTAAATACATTAAAAATTAAATTTACAGATAAAATTGAGTTCAAACCGTTCAATGTTCGTTCTGAATAGTCAGTTTAAATATGTCCACAAATTGTAATTGGGTCCCTGAATTAATATACACGAGTACTACTAAATCAATAATACATTAATAATTATATTTGACAGTTATAAAATTTTGAAACCGTTCTGTGTTCGTTTGGAGTGACCAGCTTGATTCGGACCTAAGATTATAGTTATGAGTATTTGGATGTATACGAGTTGCAACAACATCCTTAAGAGGATTTATGGGACCATTGTCAAGCTTCAATTTCCGAATAAATTGTTCACAGGAATTATGTCTACGCGTACTTAACTTTTTTAGACCGGTATAATTCAATGCGTCTTGATACGACATTTCGGGAAGCAAGATACGTAATGCTCTTCTCTGTATCGATTCGATAAGGTCAGACTGGCCTTGGGTCAGCGTTGACCACGCAGGTGAAGCGTACTCAATTCGGGACCGAATGAAGGAGGAATATATAGTGACAAGGTCTTTATCGCTTAACCCAGCCTTTTTTAACTTCCGCAATGCATAGAGTCTAGAATTTGCTTTTTTAATCACATAGTCGACATGATCACACCAAGATAGATCCTCTCTCAGTAGCACACCGAGCAGTTTAAAGGAGGATACTGATTGCACTGGCGAACCATCTATATAGATCGCATTATCAAGTGGAAGGTGGTATTGGAGGAAGGATATTGTCATCTTCTTACATTTCTTACTGTTAAGCTTCATTCCTCTACTTGAGGCATACTGAGATACATCATTTACGAGAATAGGTAGCAAACTAGGAGAGCAACGTGGAACAATTTCTAGTGCAGTAGGATCGTCTACAAACTTTATCCGCCCATTCCAGTCCTGTAGGAGGGAATTGACTAAAATGGCAAAGAGAAGAGGGCCAAGTTTAGTTCCTTGAGGTAGGCCACCGTTAACGGGTTTCCATGAGGAAAAGGATGGTCCGATTTTAACACACTGTTCGCGGGAGGTAAGGAACGACTTTATCCGTCTTATAATGGCAGGACTCACTTGTAATTTTAAAAGTTCATCAATAATGACATTATGGTCGACGAGATCAAAACCTTTTTTGAAATCAGCAAAAAAGATTCTTACAGAGCAGTGGCCTTGATCTAAAGCAGCATGAATCAAGTGGAGGAGATAAACGAGTGCCTGCGTGGTTGACTTTCCCGGAAGAGCAAATTGCTTTGGGTCCAATTTAAGGACCACTTCCGACATGAGGGACTGTAGCATAAATCCTTCCATCATTTTAGATACCTGAGCTGTGAGTGATATAGGTCTTAAATCGTCCTCAATAGTCTGAGGTGGTGACACTTTTGGAATGGGAACGACGATAGAACGTTTTAGCTGATCAGGGAAGACTCCCTGGAGCACTGATGTATTGTATATGTCCATTATGATAGGGCAAATTCAAAAGCGAAGGTTTTCAGGATCCTATTTGGGATACCATCTGGGCCAGGAGACTTCGTCGTTTTAAGACGTCGCAACACTGAATAAACTTGCCCTATATTTACGAGTAGATGGTTGGGAACTTCTGTCTCCTGGTCATCGGTGCATTCTAACAAGGGTTTAAAATGCGAAGTAAGTCCAACAAGATATCAATTATATGACTCAGCAAGGTCCTCACAGGTGGGGTTTACTTCAGAAAGTAGTTGATGTACCCAAGATTCCCGAGAAGAGAGGCCCCCTATGGATTTAACCTCTTTCCACCATCTGGAAGGGTTTGCACTTGTCAACTTCTGCACGGAATTGGCACAGTACTTTCTACGTGCCACTTTAACATCCCGTTGAACTCTATTGCGCCAAAATCTATATGCTTGTGAATTTCTTCCGTACTTATGAAGTGATTTTTGTCGCTTACTAATGGAAAACTTAAGCGATGACGTCATCCATGGTTTATCTTAAATCTCTTTTGCATACTCGTTTATTACACGAATTCTCCAGACGATCTTTATGGGGTTTTATTAAAATGGCATTATGGTCGTTCGAGCCAATAGGAGGAAGCTGGCTTACATCAAAAACGACTTTCTTGGCATTTGTGAGACACCAATCCAATATGGCGTTGTGACGGGTTGGGACATTAATAATTTGAGTTAAACCGGACAATCTTTTCAACCGTTTTTCATCAAATAATGTACTGACAGGGTTAAAATCCCCAGTCACAAACACGAGACCATCAGGATGCAGAGAAAGGAAGGATTCGACATTACGCTGGATATGGTTGTACAGTTCAAAGTTCTCGTTGGCGCCGGAGGAGGTGGTGTGGTAAATGACTGCAAGTAGAAGAGCGAATATAGATCTTGGTAAAGGCTTAGGTCTAAGTAGTAACCATAGGGATTCAATGGCTGAATCCTCGAAATGCTCGAGCCTCCTACAGTAAATTTCTTCTTTAATATAAATGGAAACGCCGCCACCGCAGGATTATGTGCGATCATTTCTGAATTGGATGAAGTTTGATAACGAAATCATTGAGTCCACAACAGAGGTGTTAAGCCAAGATTCAGTAATGCATATGACCTCAACTTGGTTAATTTGAGCTACCAACTCTAGTAGGTATATGAATTTTTTTCTGTCTTGGTGTTGCGTACTCAGGTGAATAATATGTTTGCGATGTTACTCTGAGTGCATATTCACAATGGGCGAGCTTCAAAAATATGCCCGGCCACGGTGGGATTCGAACCTACGACTTTGGAATACTAGCCCAATGCTGTTCCAACTGAGCTACGCGGTCAGGACGGTTCGAGTAAATGATATTTCGGAACAGTATCTAGTTCCTTCAGTACCAATTTGTTCTAGGTATATGAATTTTTTTCTGTCTTGGTGTTGTGTACTCAGGTGAATAATATGTTTGCGATGTTACTCTGAGTGCATATCAACACCGGGCGAGCTTGAAAAATATGCCTGGCCACGGTGGGATTCGAACCTACGACCTTTGGAAAACTAGCCCAATGCTCTTCCAACTGAGCTACGCGGTCAGGACGGTTCGAGTAAATGATATTTCGGAACAGTATCTAGTTCCTTCAATACCAATGTGTTCTAGGTATATGAATTTTTTTCTGTCTTGGTGTTGCGTACTCAGGTGAATAATATGTTTGCGATGCTATTCTGAGTGCACATCCACAATGGGCGAGCTTGAAAAATATGCCCGGCCACGGTGGGATTCGAACCTACGACCTTTGAAATACTAGGCCAATGCTCTTCCAACTGAGCTACGCGTTCAGGACGATTCAAGTAAGTGATATTTCGGAACAGTATCTAGTTTGTTCAATACCAATGTGTTGTAGTAATATGAATTTTTTCTGTGTTGGTGTTGTGTACTCAGGTGAATAATATGTTCGCGATGTTACTCTGAGTGCATATCCACACCGGGCGAGCTTGAAAAATATGCCTGGCCACGGTGGGATTCGAACCTACGACCTTTGGAATACTAGCCCAATGTTCTTCCTGCTGAAATACGCGGTCAGGACGATTCGAGTAATTGATATTTCTGAACAGTATCTAGTTCCTTCAATACCAATGTGTTCTACCCTTGTAGAATCCAACATATTTATGACCTATTTTATGCGTATTTTTTTCTCTATTTAGCCCTATTTTTTCCGTATTTTTTCAAAAATATGACTATTTTATTACTATTTATCAAATTTCATAGAATAGTATACGACTATTTACACCCTATTTAAGAGATAGGTTATTTATATTTTTCAAAAAAATAGCTTTGAAATAGATATTCAAATACTATTTGAAAGAGTAATTGACGGAATCTCACTATAAAATAGCTTTTAAATAGCTGTTTAATTCCTATTGATGATAGACGAGTCAGTTAAAATAGTTTTAAATAGCTATTTTTAAACTATTTTTGCTTATCTTCTTTGGAGCCATTCTTAACATAGTTATTAAATAGCAAATTAAGTAGATCTTAAATAGCTATTTAATTCCTGTTCATAGGAAGTTGTGGCGAACATTGTTCAAAATAGCTATAAAATAGTTATTTTTAAGCTATTATTATTATTTATTCAAATGCATGACCTATGTACAGGTATTGCTAGAATAGAAAAAAAGTATATAAAGTATAGTACATATAGAATAGACGGTATAGATAATGAAAAATAGATAATATATAAAAGGATATCGATTTACATTTTGATTTTTATATATATTGAAATTAAAGTGTTTTTTTGTTCATTTTTGCCATATATATGTATAGATGCAAATAAATACATGTATGGTTTATAGAGCATTCGAAATATAGTGTTAATTACGACTACGACGTGTGCAGTCATTTAAGAGGTTTCCCTTTTTTTTATACAAATTAAAATAATTTGTATAGTAAAAATATAGACTAAGACTAATTTGTTTTTGGGTTGTTTTGGGTTACCAGAGATTTGAGGCTATCTTCTCTTTCTTTTGTGCAGAGAAATAAATAATTAGAAAATAGATTTACTAAAACAGGATTTTGATGAAGTAATTTTTGTTTAGTTTCTTTTGTTATTTTGAGATCAAACATGTTTTTGAGAATGTTGTTTGAGTTGTCTCGTAAGTGTTGGTAATTTTGGCA